TAAATGTTAAACGTTTATTGATTGCATGAAAAAAATAGTACAAAAATTTTATAAATAATTTTGTAGTGCACAAGAATATCAATATAAAAACAACAATAAAACAACACAATAAAGACACACAGAAAGATTTAAACAAAAACTCTAAAAATTACACACAAACACAGATGTTTTTTTAAAACAACCCTGTTTTCCCAATAGACTTGAATTAAAAATTTGTAAAAAACAGCTAAATTTTATATAAACCTAAATATAGAAACCAATTTAAGATATAGCAAGAAACATCTTAAAAATACCAATGACAATCCGTAAAATATCCAAGTCAAACTTGTAAAAAGTACAGCAGAATTCTGAAGAAACATCTTGAAACATTTTTTAATAAAACATTAAAATAATAATAATAAACAAACAAATATATATATATATATATATATATATATATATATATATATGAATAATTGCAGAAGTATAAAGTCAAACTTTTTTTTTAAATAAACTTGAACAAAAGCAATTGCACAAACAGCAAGACATGAGTGAGATGATTATACATTTCATATATATACACGTCTTGTGCAATTTTATATTTATAATTTTATTTGTATTACGTTTATTAAAAATGTATCAAGATGTTTCTTCAGAATTTGGCGCACACACATACATACATACATACCATACATATATACACACACACACATATATATATATATATACATATACATATATATATATATATATATATATATATAAATGCAAATGAAAGAAACAAATTGTTCAAGTATCAGGGAACATCCTAATACACATAAAATGTTGTTTAAAAAATAAAACAAAATAGTGATGTAGACATTTGACACATTAGCTTTCTCTTCTTTCTTCCTCCATCCCTGTCAGGGGCAAGTTGTAGCTACCTTGTAATGCATTTTTACCACTTCTTTATCAGTGGCGTGGTAAGGACATTTGTCCTCACTCCATCTGTGATTAAAAGATAAACAGATAATTAGTAGTGAACAAGTACTAATGTAAAAAAAAAAGAAAAAATTAGGAAAAAAGTAGGCTACCTACGAAGCAAAAAAACTATAAAAAAAAAAACAAATAAACTTAAAACACTTTGAAATTAGCAAGAGCTTGAACTTACCAGTTTCTTCATTTGTTCGGGCTGCTCCTTTAGTTGATTTTCAAGCTTTTCCAAATCAAATTGGCCAAAGGAAGGTCAAATGTGTTTACATCTGGAATTTCATCACGTCTGTTTTGGTTTTGTGAGAATCAGGCCCAGCTGCTGCTTTATGACGTTGCATGATTTTAAAACTTCAGTCAGTCGTGCTAAAAAAGAAAAATAACAGATTAGTATAAATCAACCTGTAGCTTATTCTCATACAACTTCTGTAAATACAACAGTGGGTTAGACACTGCTGATATTCTCTAGTTGATCTTTACTTTCTAGCTGCATTAAACCTTAACAAATTTAGTGATGTCTTCAATTCTTACAAAGACATGACGAGTTGCAATAAGTTCTGTCTTGATCTCAAACTGCACTAGAACAAAGACTGTAAATGTTCATAGGTGTACTGCAGGAGTGTCCAAACTTTTTGGGCCGAGGGCCAGATGCAAAAAAACAAACGTTGTCGCGGGCCAAATTTTACACATATATATATATATATATATATATATATATATATATATATATATATATATATATATATATATATATATATATATATATATATATATATACATCTATACAGTTGAAGTCAGAATTGTTAGCCCCCCTAAATTATTAGCCACCGTTTATTTTTTCCCCAATTTCTGTTTAACGGAGTTAAACATTTTTTTCCACACATTTCTAAACATATTAGTTTTAGTAACTCATTTCTAATAACTGATTTATTTTATCTTTGCCATGATGACAGTAAATAATATTTGACTAGATATTTTTAAGACACTTCTATACAGCTTAAAGTGACATTTAAAGGCTTAACTAGGTTAATCAAGTTAACTAGTCAAGGTAATTAGGCAAGTTATTTTATAACAATGGTTTGTTCTGAAGACTTAAGGGGCTAATAATTTTGACCTTAAAATGGTTCATAAAAAAAATTCAACCGCTTTTTATTCTAGCCGAAATAAAACATAAGTCTTTCTCCAAAAGAAAAAATATTATCAGACATACTGTAAAAATGTTCTTGCTCTGTTAAACATCATTTGGGAAATATTTAAAAAAGATGAAATAAATCAATGAGGGGCTAATAATTCAGACTTCAACTGTGTGTAGATAGATAGATAGATAGATAGATAGATAGATAGATAGATAGATAGATAGATAGATAGATAGATAGATAGATAGATAGATAGATAGATAGATACAAACAGACAGACAGACACAGACAGACAGACAGACAGACAGACAGACAGACAGATAGATAGATAGATAGATAGATAGATAGATAGATAGATAGATAGATAGATAGATAGATAGATCATAACAAGAACTGCTGCTTAATTGAATGCATGTAATAGCGACACCCGGTGGTTATTTATTGAATTACGTTCATTTTTGTATAGCGGGCCAGATTCTATTGATATTTATAAAAAGCCTCGCGGGCCGTAGTTTGGACACGCCTGGTGTACTGGAATGTACAGTATCTGTGCATGTTGATGGTGGTCTTAAGATTTCTGCCATAGTCATTGATGGTGATGGTACTTGTGGTGCTGCATTGATTTCTGAAATCTTCATACCTGCCTTTTATCCAGCCTCTTTGTTCCAAGTAATTTTTCTTCATCATGGTATAGATGTGTCCATACTGTCCCTTAATCAGATACATTTACAAAACAAAACATCACTTTAGTATAGTGCCAGGGCAAAACTCACAGGTTGTAATAGATCAAGGACATAATGTTGACAGTATGTGTTTAAAATAATTGCAAACAAACCTGTTCTGTCTTTAGATGTATGACAGGCGATCATCATCTTCATCTGTCTACCAGTCAGAAATCACAGTTGCGTGTGGATGTTTGAGTCGAGCTTCCTCATATGCATCTATAATAAAACATCCCATTGTTGTTAACCTCCCGTAAAGAAAAGTTCAAATCCTGAAATACTATCAAAGTTAATTAATGCATATAATACCTATAGTGTAAATAATCAGTACACAGAAGGTTGCACAAGATTTATTCGGAGATTCATGCAGAGTGACAGCCTTATGAATCTGAGACATAGATTTGTAAGATGGTCAAGCACATGCATTATTCTGTACCCATGAAGATTAACCTACCATTGTGAAAAATGTTTGATGATGATAGCCAATAACAATAAACCATTTCAGCTGTTTGTGAAGCAATTAGTAATGTAATGTCTGAAAAGCTCAATCTATGTTGAAAATATATCAGCAGTTTACAGCTTATAATGGACTTTTAGCACACAACTATAGCATGCCTATTCACGTTCAAAAGAGTGTGCCATTGACTTCTTTGGTCGTGATGTGCTGCAAAATGATCTCACTAACCTTTGTTAAACAAGAACAATGAGACTTAACCAACAAATATTGTTACCCATTCATTTAAATCAGAATTTATCACTGTCAATAACATAAAAAAAAACAAAAAAAAAACATCAAAATCTGCTTTAAGACGTTCAGTTTTACATTAACTGATCATTACAGCTTGAACAAAAGATATAATTGATTCACATAGGCTAACACATATGAATTAAAGTGCACACTAATATATTTCTCTTGGATAGTTTAAAGAGAATAGTAAACAGTCGAGTTTCCATCATTTTTCGTGACTAACTGCATAAACAAGATAAACAATAATATTTTATTAATCCAAAACGATTAGTTTTTATTTACACATAATCACAGAATTAATACTGTTGGATAAGTATACGCCTGTACAATGATTTTTTCAACATCCACAGTACTTTATAATGTTAAATCAGGAAAAAAACACGTTTTGCCAAGTTAGTTAATGGATTCGTCTACAGAAACTTTCTTTAACGCAGTTAGCATACACACAAATTCGTTTCATGTTTCTTTAAAATAATTAAAATAGTTTTCAGTTACTACACACGTTACAATCTAACATTGTGTAAAAGGAAAAGGAACTTTTAGACGTGTTGGTAACTGTTAGCGTTAGCATACATTAGCTCCAGTCGTGTTTCTTAAAGCAAGTTACATTTCGTATCAAACTGTTTTAAATTACTAAACGCTGTTACAACCAAACACCGTGGAAATGTTTTAAGCTCTAAATTCGCTAATTATACAGTACACAAGCAGTAAAAAGCTTACCTTTCTGACCGGACTCCACGTGAAATGTTTGAAAAACCAAACTTTTTCTTCTTGTGATCTTCGTGCCATGGTGGTTGACAACCAGCTTTTTGGAGCATTACCGCCACCGTCTGGATTGGAGTTTGGATCATGAGTTTAGTCACGCATGTGTTTATTATGAAACCAACTTCTGCTTTATAAAAAAACAGTCAGCACAGGAGCGTGCTATCTCAAAAATAAGCGAATTTTACATAGTTTTTCTCTAGATGACATGTATAATCTATTTATAAATAATATTGTTTTGTTTGCGTCTAAACATTGCGACCATCCACACTAAATATTCTTTTTTTTTTTGCTATCGTACCATGAATATGTTCTCAAATTATCATTAAACGTGGAGCTAACAGATTACTAGATAAAATAAGAACTTAATCGGTTGCCATCAGCCGAGTCCTTGCCAGAAGCGGCCAGGACTCTACAGACAGACTCGGGCCGGATATGGTTGACCGGAATCGGGCCAGTGCTTTACAGCCGCATCACAACCGCATGTGCGCGAGCGAGCTGCGGGCCGCACTCGGCCCGGATAACACTCGCCGATGCCGAGTCGGAGCCGGAGGCACCGGAGGGCAGCCGAGCTCGGGCCGATTACTGCCTGCTATCTGGGTAATTACTCAACTTCAAAATAGCTTCACATAATAAAGGCAGAAGTGGAAAGGCTTCCAATTAAGAGATTGCTCTAACCCACAGACTGAAGCTGACTGATTCAAAGACACAAGAACTTCTCCAGACCTGCTTAAGAGACAAGAGGAGGGCACATACAGAAGGAAGGGAGGAATAAAACGAAAGAAAGAGGCAAAAATGACTTGGAGCTGTGTGGGAAGTAATGGGAGGAGCTTGCGAAGTATAAACTTGGATGTTTCCTAGCAGTGGAGAGCCTCGGCACGGTAAACGATGCCAAAAGTAAATGAAGAGGACGAATGCACCGTCGCGTTAACAGAACATTTGGCGGCTCTTATGTAAAGTTCAGTGTTGTGGAAGATCCGCGGGACGTGAGCAGCTCAGGAACCGACGCTGGGATCAACTGTTCGGGTGCACTGGAGCTGGACTCGGTGTGGCATGCGTGGATCTTCAGACACTCCTGCATACGCCAATAACACGCTGTCGTGCTAATAGAAAGAAAGCGAACATTCCTCGTAAGATGATCTGCTTATTGTTTTTGCACCTCTGTGCTGCCGGCGTGTTGTCGTCTTCCACCCGTGAGTACATTTATAGCTCTCTGTTTGTGTGTGTATGTATGTGTGTGTGTTACATGTGTTCTTACGTACCTTCACTAGTTTCCGAACTTGACGCGTTGGTAGACAGAATAGGCTAGTTCAAATAGAAACTTAACGTTATTATAATAATATGAATGAAGTTAGTGGATACTTCATAAGTATCTTCAAAGCACAATATATTGTTTGTGTGTTTATTAATAACAAGGGAGAATGTGCCAGGTTGTCATGTACCTATTTTATAAATATTGGTTTGAATTTATAAGCTTCATAAATGTTGCATTTGCATTTTTTATCAACAAAACAGCTTAAATTTTAAGTGTATTTTATTAAACAAATATAATAGTAGTAATATTTTGGAAAAAATCCTGCAGTTTTGATGGCTCGCCTCTTTAGCCTATTTAATTTCTGAACTTAATTTGGTAAAAACTTGTAATAGAAAAAAAAAAGCCTCTAGAAATTTTATATTTCTTGTTTAATATTTAACACAATTCATATTTTTGACCAGTATTTTATAATAATAAACACATAATTTAGTAATTACTAATTTGATAATAATAGTAATATTTTTATAGTCATCTGAAAGTTTTTATCAAAGATGCTGAGCCGAAATTTTCTGGATTGTCTTAATTTTAATTTTAAACTGAGTAATTTAAAACATTTTTGAGCATCTTTAAATTGTATTTAGCAGGTTTAATAAATCTAGGATTGTAGAAGTTAGTAAACACCATTAAATGCTTTATTATTATTGTTATTTATAGTGCTCAGCATATAGAAGTACAACCCCTAACGCATTTTAATATGAAGCTATACAATATTATATTTGTGCATATACATTAGATTAGTCAGCACTGAAGCCAAATCTGGAGCTAATCTACCAAAATAACTTAGGATTACGGTCCTAAAACTAGTACAGTAGTACAGTTTATATATTAGAAAATTATTAAATACAAATTTAAAAACAGGAAAAATCAAATCAATGAAATTTTGTAGGTTGTAATTTATTTTTGCAATATTTTTCTTGAATTTAATTGTATAACCTTTCAGTTTCTAAGTTTGTTTGGTGACCAAAATATTATTAAAATAAATAGATCTGTTTAATAAATCTGTTTTGTTTAAATGCACCAAAATACATTGCCTATATTCACGGATAAAATTTTTCATTTTCAAATTGTGGTGTACTCACTGTATGCATTGCAATGCTGATGATATTGCTATCAATGCATGATATTGCACTGCATTGAAAAGCCTATTGTTGATTAAAAAAAATCCAAAAGGTCAGAGCTTAATTCATTTAACACATGGAGACTTCAGCCCTGTAACCCACGGCAAAAACCCGGACATCATATTTCTTAAGCTTGTTTTTGTAAAAGTTCACCTCAATTCAACACAATCGCTGTGGCTGAGCGTTCTGTTCGTAGTACGTTTCGGTGTTGGTGAAATATAGGTGTTTGTGAAAGTTTAATTTGCTTTTAATGAATCACAGAGAACAATGTATAACAGGATCAAAAGGCAACATTGTGTTGCAAATAACAAAGGGCTAAATTATTAATAGCCATTGTGAAACGCATTTACAATGCAAGCGTTTAGGACATTCCCCTTACGTGACATTCACAGGTGTTGGTGGAGGGGAAGATTGAGACTAATTACACCTAATTAAGTATTGCCTCATTCACACCCTCAGTGCCAGGCAGGGGATTAAGAAAGTGAAGTGCGTTACGTCCACTGATGATGGTAAACTACACTTCCCTCTCCTCTTGTCACACAGTTCACATTAAACGCAAAAGCGTCAGGCGGACTTTTTCTGGGCCTCAGTGAAATATAAACAGAGTTAAAAGGAGGACAAAAATGTGCCGGCAGAAGTAACCTTTTAAAAGATCATCGCGGTTTGACAAAACGGGAAGGAATGTCCAAAGGGTGGTCCCGCTGTTCAGCATCTCAGCTGTGAGATACTTTACTGCGTTTCCCTCGCCTTGATGACAAGATGAACAAGCTTACCTCATGGCTCGAAACCCTCTGATCTGAAACCAAATATCTTTCTGCTGATTTCCTATTCAGGTAAAAAATTATTTCTAGTGTCATTAAATGCACTGAAAAAAGGGATTCACTTGATTTACTACGGTAAATTTATATGGGTTGAATCTAAACAATCAAATTGAGTTGAACAATACTAAATTTAATTTGTTTGTTAAAATTTAGCCCATATAAATGGTTTCCAACCACTTACCTTAAAAGAATTTAGAAAATTCAATGAATCTTTTTTCCAGTGTGGTTTCAGTCTTAAAATTCTACTTAAAGGAAACAGCACCAATCAAAATTAAAAAACATATAGTGAGCCTTGTCATGAGATGAAATAACTGATTTGAATCTTTCCTTCTTTGATAATGATAGAGGATTTCAACCTTTCTGCTTGTTTTTTTTTTGTGCCGAATATGTAATCTCTGTCTTTTAAGGTTAGTCTGTCTATCCATCTTGATGTAATTACATGTAATCACATGGCAGATCACTCATCACTTACATTACCCAATTGCACTTTTTTTTTAAAAGGGATTCCACACTGTCACATTACAAGGGTGATAATGAACTCCAACAGGGTTTTTGAAATGACATTTGTGTGCGAGATCCTGTTGTGGAATTTTATATGCTAATTTAATGGAAGCGTTCAGTGCAGTGATAGATGCTGTTAGAAGTTTTGATGTGTGTGAATGTGTGTGTGATGTGTGTGATGTGTGTCTCCCGTGTAAAACGTACGTTGGAATAGTTGGCAGGTTCATTCCGCTGTGGTGACCTCTGATAAATAATGGACTAAGCTGAAGGAGAATGAATGAACGACACTGGAAATGTTCATTTAAATACTGACTATTATTAATTAAGGGGAAATCAGCAGCCATTGACATCTATAGTATAAACGAAAATACTATGGAAATATCTTCTTTTGTGTTAAACAGAGGGAAGAGAGTTGAATAGGTTTGGAATAAGTGGAAGATGAGAAAAAGATGACAGCATTTTCATTTTTGGGTGAACTATGCCTTTAGCAACATTTCTTGTTCTAAAAGTGCAAGCGTAATTTAATTAATGATTAAATGTAGCATGTTAGAAGGACATTTAAATAAAGTGTTACATCTTTTATTCCAAGTAACAAAAATTATTTTAACTGCACGGTTTTAATTTTTTGAAAGCTGATACTGATTGGTCTTTCACAGCTTTGTGTGGTCAATGTAAACGCTAAACTTGGTGAACAATATTTTCTACAATATAGTTTATAGTTCTATAATTTATTTTACATTTATTGGTTTATTTTAAAAGGTGGCACAGTGGCTTAGTGGTTAGCACTTTCACCTCACAGCAAGATGGTCGCTGGTTTGAGTCCCGGCTGGGCCAATTGGTATTTCTGAGTGGAGTTTGCATGTTCTCCTCTTGTTCACATGGGTTTCCCCCATAGTCATAAGACTAAATTGGCCGCAGTGTACTGTATGGTGAATGAGAGAGTCTATAGTGTTTCCCAGTATGTTGCTGCTGGAAGGGCATCTGCTGCATAAAACATATGCTAGAATAGTTGGTGGTTCATTGCGCTGTGGCGACCCCTGATAAATTAGGGACTAAGCTGAAGGAAAATGAAAAAAGTTCATTTGTTTTGTTTTAATCATGCTTAATTTAGCTAGCAAATAGGTTTCACTTTACATTGATGCTCATATTAAAACATGCATTTGATCATAAATATCTTTGCAACTTGATGTCAACTATTATTAGAGAATCAGCAGAGGTTATAATATGATAAGTTGACATTAAAATACATGCCAAGTTACTTATAGGTCCTCTTGTACCTTATATTGTCATGCATTTACAGTGATCCAGTCAAGACGCTGTACAGTTCCATCTCTTATTATTAACATGCATTCAGATGCATCTCTTATGATCACTTGTGTTGGGATTACTCACAGTTAGTTTTATGATTTAAATAGCCGCATTGCAAAATTAATGTCAGTTTGTTTTATTTCACCCTCTACTCTTATTTATAATGTATGTTTCATATTTTTTATGCCACTGTGTGAGTGATCGGTTTTGGAACTGGCTGTGACTGCATAGACAATGGAAGGGGTGGTCTAGTTGAATATTTTAGACCCCATTTACACCCGTATTCAGTGCCATCTGCTTGTGGTTGAATTGACAAAAGCACATCTTAATACCAGATGTAAAACATCAGTTAGGCAACCATAAAAACATTAACCATTAAATATCCATCTTTGTGAAATAGATAGAAAATCTCTCATCTGAATATCCATATGTAACCGTGGAAAACAAAAACAGTCATAAGTGTATTTTGAGATCTGAAAGCTGAATAAATAATCTTTCTATTGATGTATAAGTGTTAAGATTGGATTATATTTGGCCGAAATAAAACTATTTAAAAATCCGGAATCAAACTAATCAAAAAACTGAGAAAATTATCTTTAAATATGTCTAGTTATAGTGCTTAGCAATGCACATTACTAACCAAAAATTGAGCCTTGATATATTTATAGTAGATCATTCTCAAAATATCATTATGGAACATGATTTTCACTTAATGATTTTTGACTTCAAAGAAAAATTAATAATTTTGACACCCTCTATTTTTAGCTATTTAAATATATCCATGCAACATAATGTTGTATTTGTGGTCAATGAGCTAACTATGTCTCCTCCCTAAGCGTTAAACCCGTAATAACCAAACTGCCTCTTTCCCTCTCAGAGGTGGCTACAATCTACCCTCAAGACCCCGCCCTGCTCATCGGCTCCAGCCTGACAGCAACGTGTTCGGTCAATCCAGACCACGGCATCCATGCAGGCTCGCTCTACTGGACGCTGAACGGCAAGCGTCTTCCCAGCAGCACCTACAGCATCTTAAGCCCCACTGTGATCAGTGTCACCCTGCCCAGGCTCTCAGGGTCCCGTCAGCGCTCTGGAGACAACCTTGTATGCCATAACGGTGGAGGTCATGTGCTGGCCGGCTCCTGCATCTACGTTGGCAGTGAGTCCTGTCTACCATATTGTTCCTATTTACTACAGAGTGCGCTTAATTGGTGAATGTGCACGCAGTCCAACTTAAATACGATTAAATGGATTCTGTGGGTAAGCCTGGGGCCTTGGGGGAATATGGGTGAGACTAATAGACGGTCTTCATGCATTGACCCCCTGCCACTGAGCTGTAGTTTTTGCAGTGTTTAAAGCTGACATATATCATGAAAATCTGACTGTTTCTGTGGTTAAGTGCTGTAATCTACCAACAGAGAAAACATGAAAAAGGACAACCCAGTACTTTTGTTTTGTAAGACTTTTTCTGGGAGCATGAGAAAAAATGTGCTGCTTTAGCGACTTAAGGCTTGTTCACAAAAAGCGGGATAACTGTTTATATAAATAAAATGATCAACTTTACTCTGATGAATGATTAATGTTTAGTTTTAGTTTGTGCTTTTCTTTCTGTGTTAAATCCTAGGGCTGTCACAATAATTCGTAACACTTTACTTGAAGGGGTGTTCATAAGACGAAGTATCATTTGCTCAGTTATGACAAAGATGACATTGTTGTTATGTCACCTAAACATAAACAAATGCATCACAACCTGTTTTTGTCTTTTTTTTGTTATGACAACTTGTCATAAATCTGTCATAAACATGATTGTCGTGAAGCCATTGTCATTCATGAAATTGTCATGAATTTTTTAACACCCTCATTAATATATGTATTTATTTCCTCAACTACAGTTGTAAAAGCTACATTTTCCCTTAAAATGTCATTAAATATTATTGACGCTGTTAAACATTATTTGACTCAGTAATTACACTTTTATTGAGACATTTCAATGACAAATAAAGTTTGTTCTACGAATATCAGAAAAATATTCATGACACAATTATAATGCCTTATGACAATCATGTTTATGACAGATTTATGACAAGTTATGTTGTCTTTGTAATGTATTTGTCATAACAAACAGTGTCATCTTTGCATTTAAAATGACATAACTGAGCAAATGACACTTAATAACAGTTGTCAGTTATGCAATAAGCGTAATAATATTACTTTTCTAAGTAACGAGTAAAGTAACGCATTACTTAAAAAAAATAAGTAATAATAGTTGAGTTACTTTTTTGAAAATGTAACACAAGTTACTTTTTAGGTTAATTAATTAGGTTAGCTTTTAAAAATAAATTGCTGAATTAAAATAAGGTAGCCACAATGAATGACGTAGTCAATGAGAAAATGTTTTGAATGCATTGAAGAAAAGGAAAAGGGTATTGTCTGAATAGATAGTGATTTTACTTAAAACAAATAGTTCAAAAGTAGCAAACACATTGCTTTGAACTTTCAATAATCTGTATTAGAGCTGCACAATTAATCGGAAAAAGATCACAATCTCGATTCGACCCCCATAGACGATCTTAATCCAGCATTTCTACGATTCTGTTAATCATATTTTCAAGTTCAGGAGAGAAGCAAAGGCGGCTGCACGAGTCTTTTCATTGTTTCACACACGTTGCTCAGCGACATGGACACCTCCAAATGATGTTAAAAGATATAATTCCCCTAAAAACGTCATTTTTTTCTTCATATAATGATGTATTCGCGGCTGGGAAATCACAGGTGACGTGAGCTGCTGACTGTGCAGGCGCGCCCTACTTAATGATAGCATGTCTACTTTAGTAAACAGAACCTTCATATGCTGTAAATAACATGTAATAAAGTTGTAAATAATATTCAGTTTGTGGCACAGAGTGATCGTTTGAAAGCCGCGTTCGAAGTATGAACAGCACTTAGTGAAAATGAAAGCATGCACATTATTTAAATAATCACACAATTTAGAGTTATAACTGCAACAAGCATTTAATAAGTTTTTTCTTCTTATAGCGAACAAAGAGTTGTGCATGAAAATAAATGTTTACAGTGTCAGTATAACTACTCTAGCCTATATAATGTTGATTAAATGGTCTAAAAATGTTTTCAATGACAAATTGCGAGCATACATCACAAACCTAATTTAACATCAGAATTATTATAAGTAGAATAGAATTATTTATTGAAACCAGTAGACCTACACATAATATTAATATTGTTGTTTTACCATATGTTTGAGAAAAAACAATAATCTCATATTAAGCTTTATTTTACATCTACAGAATCGTGAGAAAATTGTGATCTTTATTTTAAGCAAAAAAATCGCGATTCACATTTTAGCCAGAAAATGTAAGTACAGGTAAGCCCTGAGAACATATAACACTTCACGCAGGAGGTGCCACAGCAATGATTGCAAATAGAAATGATCTAAGTTACAGTGAGAAGCTTCATTTTATCCAAAATGAAACATAATTAATGAAATCAGACCTGGCCCGTGACACATTTCATAAGTGTAAGTGAATGGCTGTCTCCTTGTTTTCTCTAGCTGGCAAATGATCTATTTAATTGTGTTTTGTTACTTGTAACCGCTTGTACTGTAACAGGTTAACTCATTATATTTTCATATCGCGTCTAATGCCACATTGAAACGCGACGCGTGCTGCTTTGTTTACAGATTTAAACGTGTTTGTGAGCTTGTGTTGCACTGCCGTTATTCATTGCTATGGCCACCGTCAGCTGTTCCTACACACGTGCTGTGGTCAAGGTTCAGAATACTTCAGCTTTTGCTGGTGTGTGGATTAATATTGAATGTGTTTCATAGTTAAGAATGGAGCAATATGCAGGTGTTTGACTACACTGGTTTTGGTGGTAAGGTGTCTGAATAACAGTGTTGAGTAAGTTTTACTATGAAGTGTGTTTCGGCGTCCGATGCGATTGCTATACCAATGTTGGCGACCCGGGGGCTTGACAAACCACCCTGGGCATTTGTCTGGCGCTGAACGCTGTCGACCAATCTAAACAGGCTGTCATAGGTCCAATCAGCGCAGATTAGCTTCGCGCTAAAGAGGGGTTTTGGAACAAATGAATCGCTGAATCGACATCTTTATCGATATAGCTTGGGTCTGTTGTTGTTTTACATTCCCAATTTTTTTTTTAACTCTGTCTTTACCGTTATCGTGCTTGGTGTGAACGGATCTTTAACATGCTTCTTGTGCAATGATCAGTTCAATGCTGTTTCTGGAAAAGTCAATACCAGTGTTTCGTGTTCTAACTCTATTTACAAAACAGGTATGTTAATTCATATTTTGAGAATGTTATCATTGTCCTACACTCTGTTCACAGACATTTCAAAGCCATGTCATTTGATCTTGCTGAAAACATGCCAGCGTAATTCATTCACACACATTTATTATACAATGTATAGTTAGATTTTCTGTGAGGACAAGAGAATTGAACTAATAGTGTAATGTTTATTTACAAATGAAAAGCAGGGGAACAAAGATACTGAATCAACTTCACAACAACTACATAAATGAATCCACTAAGCATTCAGAAATGTCCTGGTGCAGTCTAGACGTTGTAAATACTTCCTTTTTTTTATCATTGTCCAACTGACATGTTGGCTTCGTGAGAATTCTCTCGTTTTGTTGTTTCTGTGAGAACATGGTGTAAAGGCTGTGCCCTCTTTAGAAAGCAGCAGCTTATATGCTATTGATGAGATGTGTAAAAAACAAAATAGGATGTTGGTAATTAAACACAAATAGGGGCTAATTTGACAAGCTATAATAACAGATCTATGGTGTATTTCCAACTATTTGCATTACACACTGCAAATGAAATGCTTTTCTTTGAGTTTTTGTTTCGTTTCTAGTCTAAATTAAAGGTGTGAACCTACACTGGTCTCACGGTTCAGTTACGATTATCATGCCGTTGATTCAATTCAATTCAATATCTCTGTGCATCATGGTGCATGAATGATGCTTTCTATACACAGTTTTTTTTCCCCAGCAGCAATTCTTGTATTAAATGTATAAATATATTTAAATTTATGTAATCTTTGTAATACAATTTAGTTCTTTAATACAAACAGTCAGATAAATAAACTGTACCTTTAAACAACACAAGCATTTATAACAAATAAACAAACATAAATATCCCGCTCGCTTTCTGAGCCTTGTTCTTTCTTACACCCCTTTGATTGGTCACATGCTCAACAGAAAGGGCAGCAATTGGCTCTATCCCGCTGGCTCTCCTTACAGAAGAGTGACACTGATAAACGGCAGCGTCGATCACAGCTGATCCATGATAGACACGGTGGAGAAAAATCTGAAGTATCGCTGTTACAGCCGAGAGGAGAGGAAAAGTCCTGCCAGTTAGTCAAATGGGCCACAGTGCGAGAGAGAGAGAAATGGAGTCTACTTTCATTCACTCAATCGCAGTGAAATAGGGGCTTCTGCTTTAAGTGTCAGTGAAAGATTGTCCAGCAAACACACAGGCAAATTGAAACACATTGTGCACAGTTTCTGCATTTTAAGTAGTTGGAGCATTGTAAAATACTCACGCTCGCTTCCCTGGCCATAGTAAGCTACCGCGACATGGCGCATATGAGATAAAGGATATCAGTACATAATAACCGATTATGAAAATTACTAAACCGATACCAAATTGTCTGCATCTGCATCGCAGTGCATAGAGGATATGATTCATTTTGAATTCATTTTGAATTTTGAAATATTTTTAATAAAGTTTAAATTTTTATTTTTTAACAATTATTTTTTTCAGAAGAAACAATTAATTTAACAATTTAATTTTACACCCCTAATCTAAATATCTAAAATTTCTAATTTTAAATTTATAAATTTTTAATCGGCTTGCCAAGCAGGAAAAAAACTGCAGACGCTTGAGACCCGTCGACAGAGCTTAAATCCTCTCCTCTTTCAATGAAGTCACCGGTGTGGAAGTATTTTGGATTTCCAGTTAGTTATGTTGACAACGTTCGTGTTGTCGACAAAAAAAAAACAGTTTGCAAGTTCTGCTATGCTACAGTTGGGATAATAGACGATGGGCGCATCGCGATCCTCCGCCCCGCACCCGTTGCAAATCCACTCGCGAAAAATAAACACTCAGGCCCTGTTTACACTAAAATGTCTTTGTTTTTAAATGGCATTTTAGAACAACAGCGATCCACATCCACACAGGCGTGTAGCGTTTCTGAGCAGCCCTCCTTCCTCACTAAAAACGCACATCACGTGACCACACACACTCATTCACACACAGACGCACACACATTGTCATGCGCTCGAGACAGCGAGTCAAGGCCGTCAGCGGGTCTGTAGACTGCTTCCATCTTTTACTTTCACACAAGTACTTAGTCATTTTAGCGAACACCTCAGATACTGTTGGCTGGTTTCTGTTGGTTGTGCACCTTTTTTACCGACGCCATTATAACGACACAGATCACTGCCTATTCACGAGTCCCGCAGAAAAAAGTGATTGACAGGTTTTAATTATTTGTGTTACTTACCTTTATTCATTTACTGTATGATTTGTTTATGGGTAAAACAAAGACCATGCAAGTCAGGTAGTTTAAACGGTAGGCTACAAATAATTAATTCGAAAATCGAATCGAATCGTGACTTTAGAATCGAAAATGTAATCGAATCGAGGATTTGGAGGATCGTGACACCCCTAATTTGCAGTATATTATTTTTGAAAACAAGACCATATTTTTTGCTTGTCTACTCTAGAAAATGTGTCTTAATTTAAGAATTGTTTTAGATATTTGGACTAGTAACAAGACCAAAACTCTTTATTTTTTTTGCAGTGCAGATAACAAAATTTTTGAAATGATGGTCACCTTGTTTTCCCCCTATCCGCCAATGAACTTGAGAGTGGTTTTAGCCGCTTAAGATAGCTATCTGTTCCACTGTTATGCTTTTAACACCTGTGTGGTCCATTATAGACGCTTTTCCTCGACAGACACAAATGTGCCGCATTTGTCAAGTTGCATGGAATGGTGGCAGTATGGAAAATTACAAACGCAGACACACGTGGAAATTGAGGGAGCGAGACAAAGGCAAGGAAGCCAGTGTCTGTCTGGTCATTTGGTAAAAAGATTGAATGCCAGAAATGGAGAGACGTGGTTATGATAAGTGTGTGTGTGTGATTTAAGTGCTGTGTTGACTCAAGCTCTCTGTGTCTCTGAGGTCTTCTCTGTAAGGTTTGGTTCATATAATCACAGTCTTACACTTAGACGCAGTGTCTTTTGTGCTCAGCTGAATGGAATCTTGGCCCCATTCCTGAACTTAAATGAGGATGACAGCTGAAGACACTCATCCATTATTGAAAATGTTTTAAGTCAACACAAAGTCGAAATTGACCCTATTTACTTTCTTAATGCACGTTCCTCTGCTTATTGTGACTGATCCATTGGTGCGCGTTATTCCAAAAAAGGCAGCATTTATTATCTTTCATCAAAACTTAATAAGGCTTTTACTTTTGGAATGAGTTCTTTTTAAAGGTCTTCTGGTAAACAATACTGAATGCATTTGATAAAGGGAACAAAGTCGGAAATATTACAGTACTAACCACATCATTTGAATAGAATTATAAATGAGCCGACTTGATGCGTATTTTTATGCTCAAGCATAAACAAATAAATAAATACATTTCTCATTATTATCTAAAAAAATGGTTGTTTGTAATATTTTGTGAAAATTATGATACAGTTCTTTCAGGACTCTGCAAATAATAGAATTTTCAAAACAACAGCTTTTTAAATGTAAACAAAAACCGGCCCGGATTAAGAATTCAGAGGCCCCTGGGCACAATGTCTTGTAGGCTACCTAGCTGCACCCCTATAGTTGAATTAAAAAATAGATTAATATAATATTTTAAATAAACTTAATCTATAGCGTATTGCCTGCATTTTTAAAATAGAAATAAGTTACATTTTTGTATACTAGAAATATATGTACTGTATATTATTTAAATCATACTTTCAAAAAAAAATACTAATACAACTATTTAAAATGAATGGATTTTAATATACTTGTTTAAGTTAACACCTCTGCAATTCAGTTCTATGAATCTGAGTCTTCTATAATACACACACTTATTGATGATTCCTACTTGTCTTCCTCGTGATGAAGAGTAGGCAAAATCTGATATGTTGTGGGGAGAAAAATAAAAATATGTTCATCAGACACTGGATTCAAACCGGGTTCATGATCGATCGTGTCAAAATATGTTGCCATGCACTTTGCTATGCCACTCACGTTGCTGTTAGTTGCGCCCTTTAGTTATGTTGTCTTTTGTCAATCTAACGGAAATAGGCGTGAATCGCTCAACTAGCTTCATCCAACAAGTTGTGCTATTTGCACTTAGCCTAAATAGACACAATCAGCATTTTTTCCTCCCTCTTTTAGGGGCCCCAAGTGCGCACGGGCCCCTGGGCCTGTGCCCATAATGGCCATTGGTTAATCCGTACCCGAAAAAAACGTATGTGTTTACTAATATGAATTGATAGAAAGACATTATAATATCTGCACAATGGTGCTGTAACAACGGTAAATAAAAGGTTATTTTCAAACTCGGTCAACATTTAGAATGACTAATATTGGCTGAGCTAATAAACACAAATCCAATCCAGTGTTTAATATTATCAACCTTTTTTATATAATTCAAGTAATATTTTCAAGAGTGAAATCGTGTGAACATAAAAACATCCGTGGAAATAGCTACTGAAAAATATTCATTCCTTTATTAATTTTCCTTCAACTAAGTCCCTTATTTATCAGGGGTTTCCACCGAGGAATGAACCGCCAACTATTCTAGCATATGTTTTACTCAGCGGAGGCCCTTCCAGCCGCAACCCTTTACTGGAAAACACCCATAAACTCTCGCATTCACATACACACTCATACACTATGGCCAATTTTGTTTACCCCATTCACCTCTAGGGCATGTCTTTGTGGGGGAAACCAGAGCACCAGGGAGAACAGGCAAACTCCACAGAAATGCCAACCAGTTACCTTCTTACAATAAGGTGACAATGCTAACCACTGAGCCACCATGCTGCCCCTACTAAATAATATATACTTTTGTTTTTACAGTAAAATTAGATGGGTGTCAGATTTTTTTTATTAAAGAAAGAAAAGGAAAAAAACGATAAAAAAAGGAACAATGCTGTTATCATAGGGGTTGCAGTATGAAATCACAATACAGTTGATGCTCATTTTCACATATCATTTGCATTGGCATACTCAGTCAATTTTTTCCTTGTCACACTTTTTTAAGTCTCTTCATGTTAAACTTAAAAGTATCTCCTTTACAGTTCCTACCCATTGGGTCCTTGCTTGAGGAACCTGAAACCATTTTTGAGTTATGGCTTTTCTTCTTCTTGCTTACAAAAGTATTTTTATTAGGTATTTTTCATTGGCTGGAACAGTTTCTGGCATTTTCCCAAGGTATAATGAAATGAAGGAACAGTCCAATTCTTCTCCAGATGTTAATATTATTTTCATTTTTAATTGCTATTTTTCACCAAATGTGCTGTAAGCCACTGTTTTCTGACATTCTGTTCATGAAGCTTTTAACAGATTTTCTCCCGTATGCGTCTACGTACAGCATTTGGTCTTGTAAGTAGTGGAAACCATCATGGGTTATTAGTGTGCCTCTAATAAGGTGTTATAAGAGGCATGAGTCATGTTCCACTAACTCACTTTGACAGCTCTGTGAAAAGTCATTGACCTTGTCTGTTTTTTTTTTTTTTTTGGTGATTTTTTAGTGCCTCCTGAGAAGCCTGTGAATCTTACCTGCTGGTCCAGGAACACTAAAGACCTCACCTGTAGATGGGCCCCTGGGGGCCAGGGGGAAACCTTCATCAAGACAAAATACACACTCAAATATAAGCTCAGGTCAGTGCTTCTTCCCAAATTCACGCCTTATCTTGTTTGTATGTTTCATGTTGTCACATGCCCATTCTCTGGAGGACAGTGGAGGGATGTTTAAGGGTGTCTCAAAACCAATCTGTGCTAATCCTTCCTGATGAGCAGATGCTGTACACATTTTTTTTTTTTTTTGGTCACAGGGAAAATTCTGTAAAATTGCAATTACTTTAAACACCAGTATAATTTTTCATTTGTAATTTTAAATTTTTTTGCATTTTATCAGAATTATTAGCACCCCTGAATTATCAGCCATCCTGTTTATTTTTCCCCAATTTCTGTTTAACGGAGAGATTTCTTCAACACATTCCTAAACATAATAGTTTTAATAACTCATCTTTAATAACTGATTTATTTTATCTTTGCCATGATGACAGTAAATAATAGTTTACTAGATATATTCAAGACACTTCTATACAGCCTAAAGTGACAGTTAAAGGCTTAACTAGGTTAATTAGGTTAACTAGGGAGGTTAGGGTAATTAGGCAAGTTTTAATAAAAATATAGCTTAAAGGGGCTAATAATTTTGACCCTAAAATGCGTTTAAAGAAATTAAAAACTGCTTTTATTCTAGCCGAAATAAAACAAATAAGACTTCCTCCAGAAGAAAAATATTACCAGACACACTATGAAAATTTTTAAAAGGGAAATATTTAAAAAAGAAAAAAAATCAAAGGGGGGCTAATAATCCTGACTTCAACTGTAGCTAGGTTTAAGGGTGGGTTAAAGTGTAATGGATGGTCAACAGTGTTATTAAATATGTAATTACAGGAATTAATTACATGTGTAATTACATGCATGTATTTAATCAATTATAAGTACAATTTAAAAGCATGTATTTACACAATAATTACATTGTAACTAATTATTAATTTCATTGTAAGTACATATTAGTTAAGGCCACTTAATAAGAAGTGGGACCAAAAAATAAATAAAAATAGGACGACTCAACCAGTTATTGATTTCTTAACTCTTCTGAAGTTGGTATTGGTATACATTGGTATTGTGTTGTCTAAAATGAATATAAACAATATAATGTAAAAATATGGAACCTTTACAGAAAACCTTTTTTATTTAATATTTTTTAAATGGTTCCAGAATAAAATTAAAACAATGTTTTAATTCAACACAAAGCTGTAAATCGTAAATATAGAAAAAAATGCTGTCTTCATTTTTTGCCATAACATTATATAACTTCATGCCCAGTGAGCATACAGAATGCTGATTCCAGACAGCAATTATCATATCCTCATTCCCTCAAGGAATATGCAATAATTAAGGAATCATAACCAGAGACCATATTGCTGTCTTTACGATCGCATCACCACAAAACTGCTTTATCCAACCATTTATTGGTCCATTTGATAATAAATAAGCCTTATGTGTGCATCTATAGGTGGTACGGACGGGAGAAGGAGTGTGAGGACTACAGCACGGGAGAACCATACACGTGCTACATCCCCCGCGACCTCGCCCTCTTCACGCCCTATGAGATATGGGTGGAGGCGTCCAACCAACTCGGAACCGCAACGTCTGACGTCATCTACCTGGATATCTTAGACGTGGGTGAGTGTGCCTGACCTTTGACCCTTTTTTCAGGCACAAGCCCCAGGTGTTCTCCTTGTGGGCAGCACGCAATCCGAGAGGACCACGAGCAACGTGAGAGCGCCACTCCTTGGAAAACAGGGTGGAGGCATGACAAATCGCAGCGGTCCATCCAAGCGTCATCAGTATCTCTCTGTATACTGTATATCTACCCACCTACTCACACATACCTGCGGAGCCGTGCAACCCCCTCCTACACAGACCAGTGGAATTTTTACGAAGTTTCTTGCTAATCCTTGTACCGTGACCTGCCCGGGGCTACCGTTTAGCAGTGTGACTGGAAGAGGGTGAAGTCTGTTTTGTTGAGTCCTTAAGATCTTATGAGCTTTGAGTGCAGGCCAAGCTCGCACGTAATCTCTTCAAACAGACACTTTAAACTACAAGCATGTTCATAAAAATGGAATTAGCATTGTTTGGACTTGAGTCGGAGGGCCTTTTGTCTTGGCAAGACTTTAGAAAGCGTTTGAGATTGAAGTGTAATAGCCTGAACGCAAACGAAAACCCCATGTCCTTAAAGAGGAGATGAGAAAGGTTATAAACTTGGGACATCCTGCGTGGGTAACTGCACCTGTAGGGGGAGGCAGGGCGATTTTGAATGGAAAGTGCAGTGAGAGGAAGGTGGGTGCACCTCCAAACATGCCAGAGTTATGACACAGCAACCACACCTAATGCCTGCACCTCCTTAGCAACAGAGACAATGCTCATCTATGTTAGCACTTAATTAAACAACAGCTCAGGGATCCAGGCAAACTACAATTTCATGGAATTTTGAAGCATGTTTAAAGGGATGGTTCACTAAAAATGACATTTCTGTCACCGTTCACTCGCTGTCTCTCTTAATGCATACAATGAGCTCTTTTGTAAGGTTGGTGGCATCAAAAGTTAGTTTGATTTGTTGTGAAATAGCAAGTCAGCTAGATATCTAAGAGATCAGAAGCGTATACTAAAATGATTGGAGAAAGAATAATAGGTTTAAAACCAATCTGCTGTGTGTTTTATGAACCATTGTTTGTTGAGAGTGGCGTGACATTATTTGAACCAGCTTGTCTGTGCCACTTGTTCCATACAAGTTTTTGTTCTGTTGAGCAGCAAGGAATATTTAATGTAAGAATGTTGGAAAACTGTAACCACTGACTTGCGTAGTAGGATGAACAAATACTATGGAATTCAGTGGTTTCTGACTTTTGTGTTACGCAGAACAAAAAAAATTAAACTGGTATCAAACTGGGGTGCGTTTTCGAAAATCATCATTAGCCAGCTAAGGTCGCAAGTTGCGTCGTTACAAACATAGTTTGTTGACATTCACAAACTGCATCGCAAACTACACCTCTGGAGCTGTAGTCAGAAGCATAGTTACTGACTGTATTCTATTCCCATTTATCCCCCCTATGCCCTATTCCTTTAGAATGTTCTAACATTTAGACTTTAATTAGCAAAAAAAATAAAGTCATCTCTCTTGGGTGTAATTTGCTTTCAAAGTATTTTTAAAGTTCAGTTTTAGCGATTTTTTTTTTTTTTTATGTTGCCTTCGCAGTGCACTTTGAAAACATTGATGTCATTTTGAACACAGCCATGGCTCATGACGAAAGCTATAGGTGACCTGTTATTTAAAAGCGGAATTTATGTCAAGTCTCCAAAGCTTGTGAAAACAAAGATATATAGCATATGTCAGTGGTTCTCAAACTGTGGTACGCGTACCACTAGTGGTACGCGGGCTTCCTCCTAGTGGTACGCGGAGGAATCGCTGAATAATGAAAGAAGCAATTAACACTTTTAATCCTTTAATGCGTAATATAACATTGATGTGATCGGCATTGGCTGTTTTGTGAAGCGTACGATCACAGCGATGTGCTTGGAGTGTTTATTTTAGTGCATTGTGTCATAAGCTGCTGAAAATCAGTTTCCGAATTGATTCTGAAGCGTGATTTGACTGACATGAAAAGTGGCCAATCACAGTCGACCTTGTCTAGTTGCGTGAAACGTAAGGGCGGGACAAAGGCTTTCTGTGTTGCAGAGACAGAAAAAACAACTTAAAAACAAATGTTTTGTTGGAATAATGCTTCTCGGATGTTTTCACTATAGAGATGTCTAGCAGAGTAATTAAACCGCGGACATATTTCCTGCCTATTTGATGATCTTCATACACGTTTCGCTCTCCGACAGCCAGTCGACTCGCCTCTGACCTGTCACTCCTCCAAATACATTCTGAATGGCGGCGCGGGAATGAAGGTATTGAGCAAATTACTCATTTCTGCAAATGCGGCGAGTGCTTTATTTTAACACGAGAGCGCATTCATGTGTGCAAATCGCTAAAACAGATATGCGAGCTCTTAAATAGGCTTTTTTCAAATGAACTGCAAGTGCTCTCATGATCGCGTGTGTGCTCAGATAGAATACAATCGCGATCTTTCCACTATTAAAGTAGACATTATTTATCTTTGCTCCTTAACTAAATTTAGTCAAAAGTATTCAAAGTTATCAAATATTTAGAAATAGATTGATACATGATCGATGACAATGCTAATGGTCTTCTTATTTGGCTGTGTTGTGAAGTGAAACTTACTTTTAGCAAAGGTGGAACATTTTTTATTTCTTTACGACAAAATAATTATGCTGGAAATGTTTCTGGGTGAGGTATTTGTGTGATTTACACATTTAGCTGTATTCTGATCTGTCCTAAAGCATTACAGGTCAAAGCAATCCATTGTTAGCCTACTTATTGTTTATTTATCACAATTTACAATAAGGCTCTTAAAGCACTGCTTTGATAAATGTAGTGTCGTCATATTTCAAATACCTCAAGTAAAATGAAGTCATTTGTTTTATTTTTTTTTACTAACAGTGTACTTGTATTTTTTTACGTTTCTATTTTAGATCAAGATCAAGTGTAAAATAAAATCTACATGTGATGTACAGCTATTTAAGAAACAAATTTGCCATATTGTAAAGAAAATAGTGTAAAATATGTAAATAAAAGGCTAAATTTAAATCTTTTTACCATATACTTTAATTTAACCTTTCAAAGCTTAAAAATATATATTTTTAAAAATGGGCAAAAAGTGTCTCTATGGCCTTAAAGATTATTTGGTAGTTTTACCAGTGCTATTGAAAAAGATTAATTGTCATGAAAGGAAAAATTGACTATACTTCCTTTGTTAGTGCAAATTATACATCTAGCTTTGGGATGTAAGCAATCAAACCATTAAATCAGGTTTACACTTAAAAAAAGTGATTTCATAATGAAAATCAGATTTTTTTTCAAAAGTAACCAACTAGTACTTTTTAAAAAGAGTAATTCGTATACCTAATATTAGTATTATTTACTAAATTTTTTTTTATTTTAGCAGTGTAATAGTATTTTTACTTGAGTACAAAAAAGATTTCACAAGCACTTAGTGCAGGTTTATTATATTATTAATATATGATTAATAAGTATTATTATTAATGGTTTTTATTTGTATCTATTCTTATGCAATGTTTTATGGGTTGCTGAGAATACATTTCAGGTCTTCAATACATAGCATGTCAGTCTTGAAAAAAAAATAGGTGCTGGAATTGATTTTCATTAGGCTGTGCCTGTATGAACCCTGTCATGTACATTTAACATGTATTTCAAGATTTGTCTGAAAGTGTATGAATATGACATATAGCCTATATTTATAAGGTCCAAGCAGCATTTCCAGCTTTTGATGAATAGGCTACTATGAATACTTTAGATTTAAGTACAGCAGTTTTCTTTTTACTTTTTAAGAACAGGGCCATTTTTTAATGAACTTTTAAAAGCACATTTTAACTAAAACTTTTTTTTTTTTTTTTATCTGCAAGCACAGTTAATGTTCAGACTATTTCAAATGTTTAAAGTGACTGACAATAATACATATTCTTACTAATAGGAAGTAATCTGCATCGTTTTAAAACTGTGCACACCTGTAGCTGCTTAATTAGGCTTACGACGCTATTTTTTAATACTGGTTAAAAAATAGCGTCGTAAGGTGGTACTTGGAGAGACGATTTTTTTCTAAGGTGGTACTTGGTGAAAAAAGTTTGAGAACCACTGGCATATGTCAATGCTTTAATTTATAGTAGGTTATTTGTTAAGTATCTGTACTGTATATGACATGAGCCTGTTGGTTAGAACATTTCTGCAGTGGTTTGCATGTGTCAAATTGTAAAAGTAGACTTTTCACAAAATAAATAATAAAACAATAATCATCATCATCATCATCATCATCATCATCATCATCATCATTATTATTATTATTTTTAAAGTAGGATTTTTTTTCATTTCCTAATAAATAATAAATATTAAATTTAAATTATTAATAAATAACCTCATTATTTTATTTTTTAATGATTTATATATGAGATTAGAATTCGTGTTAGCTTTTTGTAAGTGATTTTATGTTTTAGAATAGAATGTGTTATGTTCTCAATAATATTTGTAAAGGAAACCTATATAGGCCCTATATGTGTCATTTACAGAAATTTCAATTAATATGGAAAGCGAGTGCATTTTTTTACTAAAACTATTGGATTTTTTAAAAATGCATGTGCATGTAAAGCGATAAAATTTAAACAAAGAAATTATGGGGTTTTTCTCTAAAGAAGTTGTTACTTCACCCTATTTAGAGATTCATTATAGGCATTTTACGTTTTAACTAACGTGGTTCAAACGATGGATCTGTAACAGAGAAACTACGGGTTTTGGGAAACACTCAACACTATATCGTTCTTTTCCCAAACGATGCATCAAACTATGATAGTTCAGCCGCAAGTTATGTCATTGTTTGGGAAACGTACCCCAGGTAGAGAGAATTTCTTTGATGATTTACTCACCCTTTACTTGTTCCATACCAGGTTTCCCAAAACCAAAGTTGCTTTGTCGCAGATCCATCGTTTAAACCACGTTTGTCATAACATAAAATATCCATGATGACGCTGAAACGGGGTGGGGTAACAAC